AGATTATACAAAATTGCAACTTTTGTGACTAAAAACTATAACATCAGTTTTTAGAAGACCAAAACTTCGTAATTAGTATTAATCTTACAATTAGATGAGATTTTAAATTCCATTTTTTTAAACGTCTTCCACAAATCCCCGCAACAGAGACATACACCCCGATCTACAAAATGTAAGGACACCGCCCAACCCTTTCGAAGGAAGGATACAGCATCAACAGACCGCTGTCAATGGCTATGCTCACTGTCATTCCATCGACAAGTGAGACACGCCAAGCCTATGATCTCTCCATGCTGTCCCAAGAACCAAGGGCAGCTACCCCAGAGCACTTAGAGCCGTCCCCCCTCCAAGCAAGGGAGCACCACCATCGTGCTTCCCTCGGCCCTCACCAACATATTTCCCTACATACTACCCAAAGGGCACCCACATCTACTATCCCTGGCGATCAAAGCCAAAGGGATATTGAAACAGGACGACCCAGTCCAATCCAAACCCAAGCTAGCCATCCAGAGGCCAGCCTTCGAGCCTCTGGAAATGAACAAGCCGAGGAATCTCATACCCCATCACCCCTCTCTCAACAGAGAGGTGATGAAGAGATAAGAGCCCCTTCGCCTCAGGGTTCGTCACAACCTCTCACACACAAACGCATTCGTTGATGTTGAACCCATAGATCRTTCAGAGCGATCTTCATTTCGTGCACCACTACCCTTGGTATTTGATCTACGAAAGGGTACAAACATCCGATTCACTTACTCAACCTCTGAAGCTGAAGAAGAGGAAGAGGATGTCCAAACATCATGAGATAGTTCTTCTCTCGAAGGCTATCAAGGACATGATGGAAGTCCTTCGCGGCCTACCTTCACACAAGGCCAAGAAGGCGCCTCAGGAACAGAGGCACAACTTGCAACATCCGTTGCTGCAGGGGTTACACCCTTAGCCGATCTGGTCACCGAGGCTGAGTTCCAGGCCTTTGTTGATACAGTTCCGCGCCTCATGCTCGAGCAGCCGCCCAAGAAAATGACAACGCCACGATGACCAAGACCCCGATGATCAAGGTCTTGGACCTCGTGAGGGGGAGACAGAGGCGGCAACTGCATATACATCTCCATCCGCTGCACCAACGCAACCATAACCAACCACCCCACCATCACAACACCAATGAAAAGAAAATTTGTCATCCAATGAAAACTTGGAAGTTGATGTTTTTCTTCTAGATTAAGTTCTTCATATGTGTCTAGATTAGACTTTGTTATTTCATTACTTAGGGGGAGATTGTTAAACCCCACAATGCAAAATGTAAAAAGTAATGAAAAACAAACAAGTGATGAAGAACTAGAAGACCAATGAAGACATCAAGACAAAAACAACTAAGTCTGGATTTGACCATTGGATCGATGGACAGACTAACCAGAGGATCGATGGAAAGAACAACCATTGGACCGATGGACGAAGTTAGACCATTGGATCGATGGACAGACTAACCAGAGGATCGATGGAAAGAACAACCATTGGACCGATGAACGAAATTAGACCATTGGATCGATGGAAAGACCAACCAGAGGATCGATGAACATTGGACCGATGGACGAAGTTCAACCAGAGGACCAATGGACGAAGCGTTCTCATCGATGCTCTGGACAGACAAACACTTAGAAGATKTTYTAAGTATTCATCCAAGYGTGCAATGAAGATTTGAWGAKAAGGATGAAATCATCACATTGATAATGACGGCTGGAGATGACAAATCAACAGCTGGAATTATAGTTTATCTTGTTAATAATGCTTATCCATGTAAAAGATAAACTTTATCTGTTAGCTAGACTATTTGCTAGAAAGTAGCAATATATAGTTATCTTAGTATYAGCCAAACTAGTATAAATAGATAATTAGGTCTATTGTAAAAAGAGCGTATGTGATAGAGGCTTTTACTTTTTATTTTACGTTTCATTATTTATAAAGTAAAACCTTTGAAGCTCAAAACTATTCTTGAATGTTCTTATTTTATTTTTGAGTCTTCATAAATTTTCTTCGTTAAAACACTATAAGTTGGTTATTCATAACTAGATTATTAGTGTAATTGAGAGATCTGGGATCAACAGAATTCAATAACAATCATAGTTTTTGATAATAATTGTGTAACTCTATGCTTAAGATATAGAATTAACATACTTGCCGACTGTAAAGCAATTCGTTGATTGTACAAAATCCTATCTGCTAAGTATTGCCATGTTTTTTCCCAAACAAATTTAGGTCTAGATAAACTGTTTGAAATCAGCATGGTTGCAAATAAGAAGCGGAGATAAAAACTAGATGCAGTTAAATTTGCCTCTTCAATGGCTTCAATATATTTCTTGTCATCATCTAAAAGCCCAAGTGCATAACATGCATCTCTGAAAGTCAGAAATGTTTTTCCATTAACCGTACGAATGTCTTCAAATGATTTAGGACCTTTGACTTTATTCAACGGAATTCGTAAGTAATACCCTTCTCCTATAGTAGGAGAAACTGAATGAATCTGTCCGATCGAGAACCCTTTTTTCCTTCGATCCCAACATCGTTCGTCTTATTTCCACACAAACATTGTAGGAAATTCAACGTAAGTGAGTTCTCGTGCTTCTGGATAAATTTAATTACAATGCATCCAAGATAAGAACATTAAGGACGCCACAAATGGTATGTTTAGTACATTATCAATATTATCTTCAGCACCAAACACTACTTGTTGTTGTCCCGGAAGATGAAAAGGAAGTTTTAAAACAGAAGGAGTCCTATAATGAACATCATATCCAAAAATACGCCATGAAGCTTCACATGCAGAAAGGTATCTATAATCATAATATTGTTTTATCTCATCAACAGCATTGACAGTGACTGCATCATCACTGTTTTCGACAATTGCAACAGTAGCTCTATTTGGACCCTTGTTGATGTATTTGAACAGATATTTGATTGAAGATGCCTGATTGCACCACTCAACATTATTGTGGGCTTGATATCTTTTCAAAAAATATTTATTATATGAAATGACATTTCTGTTGTCTAGTTTAACACCTGATTTCTCAATAAAACGTTTATCTACTCATCTGCGATATACAGGATAACCATTAACATCAATTGAAGTGTGTTCAAAAAATTTCTTTGGGTATTTTTTTGAACACTTTCTATCAACCATGCATGGAAAACTAATGTTTTCTTCACCACATGGTTCGTGTATCATGAACTCTTTTACATGTAAGTACAACTCTGGATCACTATTTTTGTCTGGGATTTTAGCTGAGATGATAGGATAAATCTGTTCAATGGTAGGTGGCTTGAAATCTCAATACATAAACAGACATATATGACTGTGAGGCAAGCCATGCTTTTGAAATGCAATCGTATAAACAACTACAAAAAAGTTACAATTTAAATTAATAAAGATAAGTCTAAAAGTGTAAAGAAATATGTTCATACTGTTATCATAAATTGAACATACCTGCTTGAATTTTTCCAAAAAACTCATTCTCTTTTAATTCTCTTACAAGTGCATCAAGCTTGATCTTAAATACACGACAATGAATAGCAGGCCTGTCGTCTGGGTTTAGGCCTGTGTCCTTAACAAATCTTCTAACTTCTTGCCATTTTGGATTGCAAGTCATGGTTAGAAACAAGTTAGGATATCCATACCATTTACAAAGGGACATTGCATCGAAATAATTTTGCATCATGTACCGAGCACCACCGGTGAAAGAAGAAGGTAGTATAACATGTTGTCCAATGTTTGAAAGAACCCACTCTCCTTCTTCTTGTACATTGCATAGAGTATCATATGTCTCGCACCTTAGGACTTTCTGCTGCTTACGTATATAATGCAAYMTCTCAGTTTCAATCATTGTGTATCCATCAACAATAAATTGCTGTAGAAGCCTCCTTGCATTGAGAAGTAATGAAAACATATTTCTTCTATCTTGAAGTTCGAAGGAGAAGAACTCCCTCATTGTTACAGTTGTTCTTTTACTTTTGCTTGAAGATGTTATCTCTCTATGAGGAATGTCAAGTCTGTAACCACATTCTCCATATGGAAATAACAACGGATAATGAAGAGCAAGATAAGAAGGATGTAATTCACTTATTGATTGTAAATAACCTGTCTGATTTTGTACAATGATATATCTTTTTTCAATTGTACCACCATCATCTCTAACAATTAAAGTTGCAACTTCTGAAACAGTTGGAAGGTTATATGTTCTTTCATCCTGTTAGGATCAAGCGCTTACCCACTACACCAAAAGCAATTGCCTTGGTGAAGGCGCAACCTTATTTCCTTTATAGCGTAGCAGGCAACGCCATGTTTCGATTTAGGAAGATGCTGGAATCGTGACCAACAATCCCCCCCAGCATCTGCCCGTACTAATAAGAGCTTCATTAGAAGTCAGTGGCCACGTAGCATGCCTTTCTCATAATTATGCACTCCTTGCATATTATGCACACCATGGGATTCGAACCCGTGACGTGCTCTGATACCAATTGTTAGGATCAAGCACTTACCCACTACACCCAAAGCAATTGCCTTGGTGAAGGCGCAACCTTATTTCCCTTATAGCGTAGCAGCCAGTGCCACGTTTCGATTTAGGAAAATGCTGGAACCTTGACCAACACATCCTTTTCTCTTTTTCCAATCAATCGTAACTTTACCTTGACATCCGGGTAGCATTCAAAACAATCTCTTGCAATTCTGTAAGACTTCACCAACACATTTTTTGCATCTAGTATGTCCTTTAAGTATTGAATAATCTCAATATCAAGGGAATCAGAATTTGATGCAGAAGCTTCTTGTTTTTCACTAAGTAAATCATAACAAACATAAAATCAGAGTGACCATTAATATAACCATACACTGTAATTCAAGTAAATCTATTAAGAGATATTACAATAAGGATGAATGCATACCTAAATGAACTGCATCTATTTGAAACTTCATTTTCGGTATCATATATGTACAGTTGAGAGAATTTCGGTTTTCTTCCATCTGCTGGTAGAAGACTACCCATCCTAAGGTAGTTTTGACCATTAAGCCTGTATACGTATGGTGCATTTCCACTATTAATGGAAGTATCAATTTTGCCACCCATTGATGTAAATGAGAACATTGAATTATAACGACGAATGTTCTTCATAAAGTATTTGCTTTTTGAGTTCACACAACAAAACAGATTTACGTCAGAAAAGCACATCTCTTTCTCTTTTGGAAGCTGAACTTTGCCATAAAGACAACAAAGGGAGTAACTTGTTTTCGTCCCGCATTTTTTCCCTCGAAGAGCTTCATCTTTCCATAGTTTTGCATCACAACATTCCCAAATAACACTTTCATCACGGTGATCCAAGTACTCTGTTTAATAAACTTGAATGTAATAGCTAATTAGCAGTAATAAACATTTGATTATTCAATAATTACCTTCAAATATTCCTTTAATTTTGTCTGTAGACATTACTGGATGGTCCAGTTCTTCATCTGATGTAATATCAATGATTTCTATATCAGCTACATTTATATTCCTTTTTTGTAATATATGATGCCCTGCTGATAACCGAACCATAGAAGAAGCTTGATCTATTGTCGATAAAGGGATGGATGAATTGGCGGTAGAGCGTAACCAGTAGCGTTTGTTTACATGAACACTTGTTGTTCAAAATATATGAATTTAAGTAATGTAAGACATTTGTTAGTTTTGAAAATTTGTTTGAAGCATTGCTTTAAAAATGAGGTGTACAAGAAATTACACATACCATTAGGACTATCAGATAATGGATTTGTGATAGTCATATCTGAAGAGGAATGTGGCAAGTTTGTTTGTTGAAACTGTAGACATTTGTTTGGATCCATATTCTCATTAGGGTAGGGAATATTAGTTCTCCCAGATGAAGATTGTAATTGCCTACCATAATTTGAGATATCATCTGTAAAAAGTTACAATAAAGGATGATTTTCAAAAAGTGATTTCAACAGAAATCCAGAGCAGGTACTATTTGTCTCAATGAAAATATAATTCAAATTGCTTTTGAATCAGTTACCTTCGACATTTGATGATGTAGATCTCACTGATTGTCTATTACTATTCAAAACCGTCTTTCTAAATTTTCTCCTTTCTCTAGAATCCATCGAATTTCTTTTTTAAAAGATCTGCAAACAAATTAATTTTTCAACAAGAAAGCAGTACATGATACAACATTAGAATGAACAACCATGAGAAAATGGATTCAATTAGACAGTTGTGTTAAAGAATGCTTTTTTTTACTATAGTAGGAAATGGAAATTGTCTGTGATAACAATAATCTCATAAGAAGAAAACCATTACCTAGACGAGGCGGTTGTGGCAACCGTAAGTTAATGGTTTAAATACAACGTAAATGAAGGAACTGCTTGTCAGTTTTTGTTTGCACGTTTGTTTTTCAAAGTTATGTATCAGATTGTGGAATCAGAGCTAATGAAAAGGTCTAAAAACGTTTGAGTGTTGTATGCAGAGCTTCACTCCACACACAGGTTCGCTTACGGTGCAAATGGGTCTACTTAAGTGGCATTTCTCCCTTTACACGTTTATTCTCCCTTTTTTGTCGCTTAATTGATGTTTGACAGATCTAAAAACAACTCTGATTTGTTCTATAGCTAACAAAGTCTCGGTCCATTGTATTTAGGGTCGTAAGTCTGGACATACAAGTCTGGACGAGTATGTCTTTGTGTAAGCGCATAATTGTATTCCAGCCTTACACGGTAGGATGCCTTACTTGGGAACGCATCTTAACTTCTTCTCTGAAATGGAAATTCATAATTCTCACCCAGTAATTGATGTTTAGGATAAAGGAAACTTTTGTGATATGTATATGTGTCACTAAATCTGAAATAGCTATCTCCAGACTTTTGGCTCATGTACACAAAAATCTGGATATATGATGCCATGGATAAAGTCAGAGTTGTATGGCAAAGGTAGAAGTTACATAGAACATACAACTCATCACAAATCTGCACTCATATTCCACAATTACAATTTAGATTTCTCTTCATCATTCATGACACTTACATGAATATGCGAATAACTGCCTTTAGACTTAAGCTCTGTATATGTGTCAAGTCTTTTTGTGATCTATATATATTTTATAAAACAAACATCATTTACAACTGTCTGAAAAATAAAATAGAACTAATCAGGCAAACGACTAAATGTTAATCAAACATATGCATTAATACGATATCAAGAAAATAATACAATAGTAATTAATTAAACAGCTCCAACAACTAACTAAAATAAGTTCCAGCCATTTTAGGAAAACCATAATTCTCAAGTACTGTCTGAAATATCTTCGAAGTAGTTATCTATTTTTAAAGTTGAGGGAGATCCACATCCAGTCTCAGGAATGAACCCAGGAGCTATAGGGGTTCTACCAAAATCATCAAATTGTTTGGGGTTTATAGATCTGAATTCATGATGCATGTCAAAGGATGCAACTTCATCATCAAGTTGTATTGAATCAAAAGATTGATAATCCGAAGGTGGTGCATCTGCAAGTGGAAGCTTCGGTGACTTTTGTTTGGGATGATGGTTGGACATTGATGTAATATTCGTCGGCGGTGGTTTTTCTATAGTCATTGGCAAAACAAAATTTGTAATAGCACCAGCACCACAGAGTTTGATGGCAGCATTATCATATACCATGGAAGCTTCGTCCGGCGTATCATATGTTCCCAACCACAGCCGCTGGTGTGTAATCGGATCCATGATCTCCGCTGCCCATCTACCCCAACGTCTTTTCCGTACTCCTCTGAACTTCTTAACAATATCCTCTGGAGTTTTCTTCTTCTTGATAGTTCTCTGCTTCGAATCTGCAGCACATGGGCTGTTTCTGGTTGTCGTCATATTGGCATTGACAGGCATCATTCTAGCTTTGCTTGAAGGTTGTATGTTAATTTCATTAACATACTTCTTTACACACCACCGTTCAAAAATGTGGTCATCTTCATCTTCTGAAGAATCAGTTGCATAGGGATCGGTCATTGATATTCTTATAACTTTTGGGAATGGAAACTCTTCTTGATCAAAAAACTTCTCTGACATTGCCGGAACCTCCTTTGTTATACGCCTTTTGTGCTCCGTTTGTTTAATCGGAGTGAACATGAAACAGTCCTCCATGAATATCTGGTTTGCAATGAAGAAGGAAAAGAGAAGTTTAAGAGTCGAAAATGGTGGAAAGGAGAGGAGAGGGAATATTTTATTTCAACAATTACCGGATTTGAAAAAAGTATAAATTTATTTAAAACTTTGGAGGTCATTTCAACCGTCACTTTTTAAAAATATCTGTATATATTTAATAATATATGTCCTTTACTGTTTCCAATAAATTTCTACACTACACCCGAGTCTCCTTTATTTTGTGCCTATTTTCAGATTAAAATTAGATGAAACAATATTAGGGCTTAAACGAAGAAAAAAATGAATGAATGATCTCTTCAGAGAAGAAAATAACTTGTGGTCTGTGAGGGATTTTATAAACTGAAGGGAAGCGCTATATAATTTGTTTATATGACTTTAAATATATTCATTTTATTTTGTAACATATTTTACATATGACTTTGTCTTTATGCATAAAAATGTATAAGATTTATATACATGTTCAAAACCTTGTAGCATTCAATTCTTCATAAGCTTTTGCATAGAAACAGTGTTTTGGTGAATCTTGTTTCCACTTGCAATTAGTGATTGTATTATATAAATGTTGAAATAACATACTTCATTTAGGAGGGAAACCTAAATGTAATATAAGTTATATATTTAAATTAAGTTATAACATTATCACTTAAAACAACTTATATGTTTACCATGTTATGCAAAGGATGCAGTATAATGTTCAAGTGTGGCATTCAGACTTTTAACTATTAAGTTATAACATTAGTACCCCAAACTAACATTTGAGAACTGGTTTTAAGGAACTCTGCACATTGACACTCAAGAATTACTATTTACAATATAAATCGAAAATCTGAAGTATGTTTAGTACTATTTTGGAGCCATATTGCATAGTTTAAACGATAATGGACATTGTACGTGTGTCAAAACACGTATGAAAGTTATTGTATAAGTCTGTAACCAAACAAGTCAGAGTTAGCTTCCAACTCCATATTTAATTATGAAATAAATATGTTTTTAGAAGTTTTTGTGATCACCAAAATACATTACGGCATAGCACGTGCAAAACCTATTTGAAGGTCTGTTTGAAGAATGGAGTCACGCTTGAAAGACAAAAGTGTTAAAAAACTTTCATCACTTTAAGCCCAAAACAATACAGACTTATAAATGTTGAAGTACACTTGAGATTCAGAAGCAGAGACTGAAAGTAGGACATGTAGAGACAAAGCTATTTTTCGAAACATAAGTGCAGAGCCTCTGTGTAGCTCTGTATGAAGCATGGAGGTAGTGTTACAGTGACGTAGCACTTGCAGGACCTTTGTCATGGTCTGTACCAATAAGGGGAATTTCAACGTAGAACATTAATAGACGAAGCTCTTTCTTAACACTTAAGTGCAGAGCCTATGTATAGCACTGAATGAAGCACAAAGGCAGTGTTAGAGTGACGGCATAGTATGTGCTTAACTTCTGTGAAGGTCTTCATGAATTAGGGAAACATGAACGTAGCACCTGAAGCGACAGACCTCTTTCTCAGCATTTAAATGTAGAGCTTCTGTATGCCTCTGTATGAAGTACGGTGACATATTGACGGCGTAGCACGTGCAGGCCCTCTCTCAAGGTCTATATGAATAACAGAATCAGGGTTGACAGTCTCAAAGGTGAACAAACTTCATAGAGTGTCAACCGGGTATGGTGTAGAGTTACAAGTGTGACGTACACTTTTAAAGTACGACTTGACTGTTGAAGGTAGTGCATGAAGACAAAGAGCTCTTTCTCAACACTTAAGTGCAGAGCCTCTGTGTAGCTCTGTATGAAGCACAGAAGCAGGGTTAGAGTGACCGCGTATCACGTGCAGGACCTTTGTGAAGTTCTGTATGAAGAAGGGAAGCCTCAATGTAGAACATGAATAGACAAAGCTCTTTCTCAACACTTAAGTACAGAGCCTCTAAGTAGCTCTGTATAAACCACGGAGCCTTGCTCAGTCTGACTGCGTACCAGTTGTAGAGCCTCTGTGAAGGTTTGTATGAAGAACCGAATGAGGGTTGGGTCACACAAGGGGCAAGAAAATTTCATAGTTTAGACTCGAACCGTGTAGAGTTTCACTTCGAAAGTCCTCATTCAGAGTAAGCAGCGGTGCCTGAACGTAGTCCATGAAGAGAGTGAGCTATTTCTCAACACTTACGTGCAGAGCCTCTGTGTAGCTGTGTCTAAATCAGGGAAGCAGGGTTAGACTGACGACCTACTACAAGAAGAACCTCTATTAAAGTCTGTATAAAGAAAGAAGTCAGGATTGACAGAAACAACGATGAATAAATTTTCTGAATGAAGACTCATATAGTCCATAGTTACAAGTTTGAAGTCCACTTTAGAGTAACAAATCGAGGCTCAACACAGTGTATGAAGAGACAGAGCTGTTTCTGAACACTTAAATGCAAAGCCTCTATAAAGATCTATATGCAGTACGGAGCCATGGTTAGATTGACAACGTACCACGTGCAGAACCTCTGTTGTTGTCTGTATGAAAAAGGGCAAGCAAAAGCGTAGTATATGAAGATATAGATGTCTTTCTTAACACTTATGTGCAAAGCCTCTGTGTTACCCAGGCAAATATGTTTAACATTAAATCCAAAACTAAAAATAATGAAAGCTTATTCGAAGTTACATTCACCAATTAGCAGATCATTGTAGAAAATAAAATTCAATCACCAAAACAATAATGAATACGAGAGACAATGTACTTGTACACCATAACCATGAATATTGCTTTTGAAGTGGAGGAATTGTTAACATTCTTATAGCCATTCCTTTTTCTTAAATTAGGAAAAAGGAAGAAAAAAATAAGAAGTTCTCGATACTCCAACAAAAGTTAAAAAGAAAGAAAACTCATACTTTAATTAAAAACATAATTCTAAATGAAGGCAGAGGTTAAAAATGATCTCTGTTTTACATTAACTATTCAAAAAGTACAATAAAAGTGAAATGA